CAGCAGGCTGAAAAGCATTGTGTCACTGCTCTCTCTGGTTGGAAGTTTGCAGATCACAACCAGCATCACTGATGGGTGTGGTCTGGTATGACCAACAGTAGGTGCACTCTAAAATTCGACCTGCACAGCACGGCTCAGAAATCTACTTGCCCAAAGTAAATTTTTACTTGCCCTTTACAAACTGTTTTATTATTAGTGGTATTCGACAACAAAGACACTTTTTTTGAAATTTGAAACATGCCTATGAAAAATGACCTCATTTTATCCACCTTGCTCACTTGTGCTTCAGCTCTCAGCTCTAAACAGAGATAAGAAGGAAGCAAGATTGTTCGTAGCCATCATCAGTTCTGGAAAAAACAATGTGTTTAATTATTTTTTACCACTTGCCCAATCAGAGAGAAGAGATGCCTCTGATCTGATGTCAGTGTCTGAGCATCACTACAAACTCTCACACATTGCTTTTCAAATAGCACTTACTTGGATAAATAGGCATGTTTTGCAGTGCCACATGGTTGTAGGATGCAGCTGCACAACAAAGAAGAAGAGCCTCCCAAATAACTTGACCCTTGCCAGTCTGGTAGCCATAATCACCTCCTGGGCCCTGCTTCATTGTCCCGAAGCACTGAGCAGAAAATGTCCCTTATGCTCCTCAGAGAGATGGCTCTTCCCTTTTAGTGCTGTCTTACAATGAGTTCACCACCCATTGGTGAGCAAATGCATTACCACAACACCACATATGGTCATTAGGTCATTAAGCGTACAATCTCACATTGCTGCCCCCCCCCATTTTCTTAAGTATAATTCCAGTTTATTACAGTTGAGCTTGTCTTTGATCATTCTCATTAGTATACTACCACTGATGATTGCCATAATAATAATGATAATTGTTGTAATGAACTGAGCTGTGTATTTGCAAGAATCTGGCAATACTCTATGATATGTATGATGATATAGAGGTTAACATTCAATATATTTTCAGCACTCTTACAAATGTACACACACCTACATCCAATAATGAGTACAAGGAGGAGAAGGTGTAGCTGCTGTGCATCTCCAGCTGGAGAGAGCAGAGTGTCACACACCACCACTCCCCGAGCGCACACACACACACACACACACACACACACACACACACACACACACACACACACACAAAGTACAGGCTCTATCCTGCTTCACCAGCCTTTTGTCTCTTTTCACATTGCCCCTGAAAAAAAGCTACCGTACACCAATATTTCCCCCACTTCTTTTAATCCTCTGCACTGGGAGAACTTAATGGCAGCAGATGCAGTGTCTGAGAAAGAGCGAGGGGCTGTGAATGACCGTAGAGTCTATTGTTTCAAGCTACCAATAAAGGGTTAAGTTGGATTTAGAGCCCCTGCAAGGCAAAGGACTAAAGAAAGCTCCTTTTCTTATGCCACAGAGCTATTCACTTGCACCTCCAGTGCCTCACAAGGAAGCAGTGCTATGACAAACAGTGTGCTAATCCCAGGCTCTGTCCCATTATACTGCCACCTGACGCTGGGTTTAAAACTCTAATGTGGAAATCTGATTCCAAAGTTATATTATCTCCTTAAACACAGCATTGATATCATAGATTTCATATATTATAGTGGCCAAAAAGCCCAGGCAAAACTAATATGACTGATGAATCAGCAGATCTCAGCAGCTGTACTTGCACTTGACAACAAATGCTCACAATAGGCACCATCTCACCATCTGACAGACAAATCTAATAATCGCCTCTCAAACAGTGTCTAGTTTCTGGAGCCTGTAAAATGCCCCCCCTCGCCCTGTGGCCCATTAATGCTCATTATGTGCCCATTATACACCTGGTGACCTCTGACCTCGTCAGCACTGTGCTGTGCTAATCAGTACCCTGGGGACATGAACAGACGGACAGGCGGGTGAGGCTGTTCATACTCTAACTGCGTGGGTACATTCATGGGCTTCAGACACAGCACTCGCTGCAAGGCTACATGTCGCTGTAATCAGGTGGAAAGCCCATAAATCCCCAAAAAATAACTAAAGGGAAAGCAGCATTTTTGACAAAATCCAGAGTTTTTAAAAGATTTGTAAAATGGTCCTAGGAATCAGGAAAAGGGGATGAATCAACAGTGTAACTTAATCTCACATGACTTCAATAGCTTTTTGACACAGAGGCTGTGATGTCACGATGCTGTTTCAGTGGCTGTATAAAGTTCTGTCTGTGTCTGAAACTGTTCAGTTCAGTACAAAACTGGGCATAAATAAGCACTGATTATTAAATAAATGGCTCAATAGCCACGTGTCTGCTGCAATGTTACAGCATCGTCTTTCAGTGTTCTTTTAAATTTAACTGAATGTTTTTAATGTTTAAAATAGGGCTGTACCCAATGATTGTTTTCATTATCAATTCATCTGTCAATCATTTTCTCGATTAATCAATTTGTTGTTTGGTCCATAAAATGACCATAAAACAACCCAAAGATATTGAGATTACGGTCATAGAGGACTAAGGAAAGCAGAAAATATTCACATCTGAGAAGCTGAAATCAGAGACTTTGGACATTCTTTCTTAAAATGACTCAAAACAATCAACAGGTGATTAATTTAATAATTGAAAATTAATCAACTAATTATAGCAGGTCTTGTTTAAAACATGTCACTTGTGAATGTTACGAGACTAAATTAAACTAGTACTGCATGCACAGGGTTATTGACTGCAGTTTTAAGCAGGTAATTAGCTTATGTCATACCACTGATACTGTGGTAGCTCTTCTTTTAAAAAGGGGTTTTTTTATTTTACATATCAAAAACAATTTACGTATCAAAATCTGACAAAATAACAATGATGATGCCATCAGTTTTATAGATAGCTAGAGTTTTTATGTTTATATTTAGTCTATTTATTTTAGACGAAAAAAAAAACTGTAGTGTCTATCCTTGAGGCCTGATAAATGTGTCAAATGGATTTCCTTCCACAGATCAAATTATTTTTGGCCAAATTTGAAACCTAGATTGTTTACATGCATGTCTGCTTTTTTTTGTCTTTGTTGCTGCATTGCTACAACTCGGGGACAAACTCTTGAAAACACTGCCCCATAGTAGTCATATAGCTTACATGGTATCCTTAACTGGGTTGGGACTGAAGGCTACAGATTTACAACAGAAAACCTGCATTATACACGCTAGCAGTGTGAAGGGGTACTGAAGGGTGTGGGCATTTACCAGGCAGGAAGGGTTTAACAAAATACGCTTTCTAGCCAGATTATGTGCAGTGTAGGATTCAGTGTTTTTGGCACCTGACCCATACAAGAGAGTAAAAGTCTGCATATCTTGGCCTCTGTAACTGCATCTTGCAAGTCTCCCAACTGTAAGTGCATTAAATCAGTGCAGTCCCTTTAATATCTCTTGGTGTATTAGGCAATTGAAGACAATGATGAAGAAAATCAGGGAGTGGGGCATCTTTATGGCAGTATTGGGTTTTTAAAGCAATTTTTGCTTTTATTGATATTTTTTACTGACAAATTTATTTTTAACGTATTTTCAAGAACATTTGCTAGATTTAGAACATTTAATGTAAGGTTTCCCCAGATTTTAGTGTAGACCCTCTTAGAGTTCTACATACACACAGGTTTTGTTTCAGGTGTCTGTTTTTCTACATTATAGGTGTGAGTAAACAGAAAGTGAAACCACAAGCTTTACATTATCTCACAGTTAATCTGTAGTGAAGGAGGTCACCCTAAAGGCCAGGACTACATGTTGAATCGGCCAAAATGAACACCGACGCCGACTGACGACGGCACGGGACACACCGAACCGACTCGAGTCACCGACCTCGCCCGACTGTCCGACGACGTCCGACGGCCGATAATCGGGTTGGTGTGTCTGGTCCTTAAAACGACAAAGAGTCCCTCCGGGCTCTCTGGACCATCTGAAGACACTAAACAAATCCAATTCAAATAAATGCACTTCATCTAGCTCACAACAACCACTTCCCCTGCCTTCTGGGTGTAAGCTGCAGTATTGTGCTGAGGTATTATCATTATAGCACATTACTGACCAGCCTTTACTAATAAGCTCATATCTTGGACTGTTAAATACCCTCAATTTGAACCCTTGTAGATTTAAATATTTAGGTTAAGCCTCAGGCTGTGTTCCGTGCAGCAGAGAAAATTCCACTTAAGCCTAGTTTATTTCCCATTTTCTGGGGCCATAGCCTAATTTGATACAGCGCAGGCTACTTTGCATCCTTAATTTATTTTTCATTTCATACATATTTTACATACAGATGGCCCAAGGTACACTAAACTCAGTCCCGACCAAACCCCCTTTAAATATTCATATATTTAGTAAGAATACTACGCTGTGACATCAGTAGCTCCCACAGGGGAGTACAGGGGAGTACAGGGGAGACTATAATGAGGAGACTGAGGGAATATGCAAGGAGCTCATTCAACAGTGAGCAGCACAGACACATGAATACAGCAGCTTTCCCAAGGGATGTCTGAGACTACTACAAAGTGACAAAATTAAGGAAACATAATGTGAATGTCAAACACAATGGGTAAAATCTACCCATTAGGGTATTCACAGAGACGAAGCCAAAGTTTGAAAGCAATACCTAAAAGTGAAATAAAGTCACTACTGCGTTAGCACAGAGTCTGAAAGGTGTTCATTTTGCAGATATTTTGCCGTGACTTGAGGAGGCAACTCACAAACAGCGGTTTCGTGACAAAAATGACAAAAACATTTACGATAAAGTCGCAATAAATGTATCGGAAATGCTACCATGAAGCTGTAAATAAGACATAAGTCACAATGGGAGCTTACTAGCGTACACTGTTTAAATATTGCGGTGATTTATGTCGGAGTCGTAGCCACGTTAATTCAAGTTAGCACAATCACAGTGCGGAGCGCCGTCACGTCCAGCGTACGCAGTTTAAAAACCCGCCATACAAACAGTGATATTTCAGAGCAAACGCGACAAAATAAAGTGAATAGCAAAAGAGACTAACCTCGAAAAGAAACTGTCCCGCAGAGCGTCGACGCGGACGGAGGCGGTGTCGGTTAGTAGTCCGACAGAGGTGAAGTGTAATGCACACTGTTAGACGGGAAACTACGGAGTGAGAAGACACGGTGGGTCGCTGCTGCCGCCGCCTCCCTCTCTGTGCCATTTGCATGTGAACGGACCCGCTGACAGACTCTGTCAGTGCGCTGAAACGAGAGGAAGAACACAGTCCAACTTTCTCCGCAAATGAAACGAGTTCCAGTCAGAAATGATTCCCCCCTTTTGACCCTTGACCTGGCTATATCTTTGCCTCATATACAGTTAACGTCTAGTTTCTCCAGTGCTCTACAAGCAACTCATTTAGCAGCCATTCGTCAGGCGAAACAAGCTTGTATTTTACAGCCTAATAAAGTCATAATGGATTATATTAACGATTTTGGCAAGTAAACTGCTTTATAACCCCGTCTTAAAAATAGTGCGCTAACCCTTTAAAAAGTAAATGTAAATAAAATATAGCTCTAATTTGATAAGAAGAACTCAGATTGAGGTTTTAAAGAGACGTTGCAGTGATTTTAATTCTGCACTAGGATGGCCAAATTGATTTAACAGAATTTGAGATATCCTGATTTTTAGGAATGGGTCATGGTAAAATAAAAAATATATATACTAGATCCAGTTCTTATAACCATGCAAGCATAGGCTACTACATTTTACACAATATGTTTACACAGTATGCTTATTATCAGTATACTATTTTTGCAGTTAGTATACAAAAGCTTTCTCTGGCTCCTCCAAGCACTCCTTATGACTTTTGCCCCCAGGCCTGGACTAAAACAGCCAACCAAAGCAGAGAAAGACAGAAAGATGTTTTGGATTGGTGGCTTGAAGATAATTGATTGTTGAGTCTCATTCCCAGGGTCCCAAAGCATCTGTATTTGATGCTCTGGGAATGAGACTCAACAATCAACTGTCTTTCTCAGCTCTGATTTGTTATTTTCGTTCAGGCCCGGTGGATTCTTGCGAATACCATTAGGACCACTAAGAGGAGTGAAAGGAACCAGATTTTTTTTTTTTCACAGATTATCTGTCTCAGGATACAGTGAACGTTTCAGCAAATATGACACTTTAAAAAAAAAAACAATTTTACCTACTGCACTTTAAGGATGAGCGAGTTCACCATTATCTGTATACAGATACAGACTTAAAACCTTAGAATAAGTGTGTTGTGTGAAATTTGTAAACAGCTCTTATCTTTCAAACTCCATGCCTTAAGTTTAGAACACATACTTCTCCCTTCCGAAGCTCAGATAACCCCTGATGACCCATTGACATCATCAGGGTAATTTTCTCCTCCAGAGCTACAGGAGATATTATACAGCAGGCTGAGTATTAGTCATCATGACCAGGAAACTGGTATTCATGTGTAAAAACTTTAATGTAACTTTCATTGGTGCTTCTCATGTAGTGAATTTTTAAAAATGTCTTCCACACAAATTCTATGACCTAGAAACCCCTCCCCCCTATTTAAACAGTCTTGCGCAGAAACCACTAGAACCTGAAGCAGATCCCAATCAAAGGCCTATGGGCTCCCATGAAGTCAATCGAGTCAAAAACAAATCTAGGTTTGTACAATTTCACCGCAAATGAGAAAAAAACAACTCTGTAACCCACTCCAGGAACTAATGGATGCAACAGACTCAAAAGGGTTTGTGGTCCAACAAGGGTTTGACTGGTTTTGAAACCCAGTAACAAAATGATTTTACTGAAGCTAAAAGTAATAATATTAATAATACATTTTATTTATAAGCGCTTTTCTAAATACTCAAAGACACTTTACATAAAAGCATAAAAGCAGGGGTGCCTGGTTAGCTCAGTTAGTAGAGCTGGCAACCCATATATGGAGTTGCTGCAGCAGCCTGGGTTCAAATCTGACCTGTGGCCCTTCGCTGTGTGTCATCCCCTTTCTCTCTCCATCCACCTTTCCTGTCTCTCTACAGCTGTCTATCAATAAGGCCAAAAAAATAACTTTAACAAAAAAAGCAGCAAAACAATATCAATAATAAAACACCAAAAACACATCGGACTAAGCTAAACATTAAAAGCAATTTTAAAAAGCTGAGATTTTGTCCTAGATTTGAATGTTGGAAGGTCGGTACAGTCACGGATGTGTTTGGGGAGAGAGTTCCAGAGGGAGGGGGCAGCTACAGAGAAGGCTCTGTCGCCCCAGGTTTGGTGCTTGGTCCTGGGTGGTGGAGTCAGGAGGTTGGCATCAGATGAGCGGAGGCTACGGGATGGATTGTGGCGATGGAGCAGGTCAGTGAGATAGGAAGGGTCCTGGTTATGGGGGGCTTTTTGTGTGAGGAGGAGTATTTTGAACTGAGTACGTTGTGGGACCGGGAGCCAGTGAAGGTTCTGGAGGACAGGGGGAATGTGGTCACGGGTGCGGGTGTGGGTGAGCAGATGAGCAGACGAGCAGCAGAGTTCTGGATGTACTGGAATTTATTTAAGGTTTTGGATGGTGTGCCAATGGTTTGATAGTATTGTGTTCTAAATACATTTTCATGCCAAAAAGAAAGAAAGTATTCAGTTTTTTTCCCACAACTCAATCCTTATAAGAGCTGGAAAGCCTCAGGCATTTAGACTGTGATGGGACACTAAATGCCCCACTGAAAAGCAAGATAATGAAAACCCTTGAGGTTTAACTGTTCCTTAGGGCAGGGAATAAGGCTTTGAAATTTGCATGAATAAACAGTCAAATCAGCCAATAACACTCTTCAGTACGGCCGTTAGTGTATATGAGCTGGAAGGTGTGAGAAAAATGACTGTCAACAAATTTCTTTATGGGGGAGCACTATATGCCTGATGTAGGCAGCACTGCTGTCAGATATTGTTACTCTACATTCTACTTATCTGAGATTGTGCCACACATGATCTGAAAGAGTCTCTTTCTCTTTCAAGAATGCCTTAATTTGTTTTAACTTGCTGCTGTCAATCATGTGAATCAAATAGGCATCAAATAAGTGTGCAGCTTGCTTGAGTTTAATGTGATATAATTGTCATGTGTTTTGTTTTTTTGTTTTTCATCTGTAAAAGTGTTATATGTGTAACTGTGTTTATGTGCAATTTTTTTTTAATGGAGCTTTCCAAGTATGTAAAATGAGTTTCAGAGTAATCGTATCGGAAAGTCTCACATAATTTCATAACAGAAAGTAGTGCATTGTATTGTTCTGTATTGTATCAGAAGTGTCATATCGTATTAGAAAGCATTATCGTGTTGTATTGGAAAGTATAGTATAGTATTGTATTGTATTGATTCGAAAGTATCACATAGTATCATATCTCATTTTGCGGGTAGAAAAGAAGTCTTCTTAATTCAAGGATGGTGACACCTAAGTCAGTCCCTGTTCTGTGTCACCCTCTCTGCATCTACAGTGCTGGCCCCCGAGCCATGGAGACCAGAGTGGGGCCCCGTCCTGGAGAAGGGAGGGTGTGTCTGCAGCAACCTGGATGTTTCACTCCTCTACTCTTTGTGTTCTTTTTCATCTGCTGTCAATCTAAGACAATATTTCCAAAGAATGGAACTAGATATTGGGCAGTATGCAGTGAAAGCATCAGCTCATGATTCTCTGCTGATTCTTCTGCTGACAGCGGCACACTTTCTTTAGGTGTGTAGAAACAGCATTGTCTCATCCAGTGAGTCAGAGGAATGGGAGCTGATCCAAATTGTGTTTCACTAACCTAAGGGCTTGTTCTGATCTATCCACAATGCAAAAAGCTACAGCCTCACACATACAAGGGGCTTGCCAGTGTTGATTTCACAGTGAGAAGATAAGGTAAAGACTGAAGGATGAGTACATGTGAAGGATGTGGGGTTCTGTGAATTGAAAAGCTGCTGTGACCATCTGTACAAATGCAACACCTGTCTGATTTAAAGTATACTCCTCTTTAGTTTTCATTGTAGGACATATTTAGCCTAGCTTAGCATGAAGACTGGAAGCTGGGGCAAACAGCTGGACTTTATATAACATATAAATTGAAGCAAAAATGAAATGGAAACTGGAAATGCTAAACATCCAGTGTGTAACATTTACGAGGATGTATTGGCAGACATGCAATTTAATATTCATAGTTGAAACCGGAAAGTAAAAACTAAAAACACCTGAAAATAAGTATTATCTTCTTTTTGTTACCTTAGAATGAGCCATTTTTATCTACAGAAGGGGCAGGTCCTCTTCTACGGAGTCCGCCTTATTGCTACAGTAGCTCAGAAGGGACAAAAACACATGCAATAGATAGGACCGTTTACGTCTTTAACAAGCAGCAATCGCCATGGCTGGCACACAAAGCCTACACCAAGTAACAAAAAGTGGGTGCTGTCATAGGCGACTGTTTTCAGTCAGCTTCATTCAGCCCGCCGCATGATTTTGTTTAACCAACAGATATAAACAGGGTGCGAGCTACAGGGGAGCTTGGCTCCTCTTAATATTACATGAGCTACCCCTGGGGGTCTCCAAAATATTGAAAACATGCTATTTTTGCCATGCACTTCAATTTTTCTGTATCTTTATCATCATGGATCAAGAATAAATTAGCAAATTACTGATGCATTTATATCATTACCTGACTATTTCCTGTGCTGATATCCCCATTTTCTTTCAATTTATTTTCTGTCAAAATTTCTGTCACTAATTAATATAAGAGGAGTAGGAGGAGTAGGAGGAGGAGGAGGAGGAGCAGGAGGAGAAGCTCGAGGAGGAGGAGGAGAAGTTGGAGGAGGAGGAGAAGCTCGAGGAGGAGGAGGAGGAGTAGGAGGAGTTTGATTAAGGGCCAGAGTGTCTGTGTGATCCACTGCCACAGATTTTAGAGCAAAGACGGCTGCAACCTGATCAGTGTAATCTTTGGACCTGAAGCCCCGACAGAAAGTCAAAAGAGTGATTTGTCAGCTGATGTTAGCGGTTTTAGCTCAGTCACACTAACCTCGCTGAGGTGAACGTGCCTTTCTTGTCCACTTCTCTGGTTCTGACCTTTGATGTTCAGCAGTGAGATACTCAAAAAAGCACTAAAGACGTTTTCATTTCCTTTAGCTCAGATTCCAGAGCAGCAATATGACCCTGCATTACCGCATAACCTCCTGCTTTGACTCCTGAGTTTTGCCAGAGGAAACCTTTGCCATTAAGGGTATCTGA